GGTAATTATCATCACAATTATGATTACTAATAATAACAATAACAGCTAGCATTTACATAGCACTTTCAGATCTGTGGGAAACTTCATATGTGTTTACATTGGATCTGCATAACAACCCCATGATATAGATGTTATTATTATGCCTATTTTGCAGATGAGAAAAGTGAGGCTGAGAGGTTGAATGAAAGAGTCTCCACTAAAGAGAAGCAAATTCAGTCAGAATAAGAAGGACATCTAGGAGAGGGGAAGGAATACTAGTTCTATCGGTACAAGACTTCGATTCCAAATCCACCTTCCTAGTATCCATGTAATCCACCCTTAGTTTCCACATGACCTTGGATCAGTCATTGGGACTCATTTTCCTCCCCTGTAAAATGAGGATGTTGGATCAGGTGACCTCTGAGATTCCCTCTTGACCTAAAGCTATAGTCCTCTTTTTCTGTGGCTTTTTCCCATCTTCTTTCTGAGCTATTCTAACACAGAACATAGTAAAAATGATAGTGTTTTGGGGGCAGCTAGGTGGCGCAATGGATAGAGCACCGGCCCTGGAGTCAAGAGGACCTGAGTTCAAATCCAGCCTCAGACACATAACACTTACTAGCTGTGTGGCCCTGGGCAAGCCACTTAACCCCCACTGCCCAACAACCAAAAAAAAAAGAAAAAAAGGAAATTGATTTTGGGGGCAGCTAGGTGGCGCAGTGGATAGAGCACTGACCCTGAAGTCAGGAGTGCCTGAGTTCAAATCCGGCCTCAGACCAAACACTTGACACTTACTAGCTGTGTGACCCTGGGCAAGTCACTTAACCCCAATTGCCTAAAAAAAAAAAAAAAATAGTGTTTCTATAGCACTTTAAGGTTTACAAAGTACTTTATAAATATTTTCGCATTTTATCCTCGTGACAATGCTGAAGGTAGGTGTTATTATTATCCTCATTTTATAGATGAGGCAGACAGAGACTAAGTGATTCACTCAAAGTCACCCAGCTAATAAACTGTCAATGGCTGGATTTGAGCTCAGGTCTTCCTGACTCCAGGCTTTATCTACCTATCTTTAGATACTCTTAAAATCAGTATGAATCTGATAGGCCAACAGCCTTTGATTCTTGGCCAAACACTAAAATGTGTTACAGAAGGGCTCTTGTCTCTGGCAGATGCCAGCTCTTTGACCCTGGACACGTGGCTTAATCTCTCAGTGCCTGAGATAACTCTCCAAGGCTGTCAGTTGCAGAGTACGACCTGCCCTGTATTCATAGAGCAAACTTCCCCAGTGGGAGTCCCTATGCCACTGAAGTCACAAGTCCAGTTCCCCTCCCCCCAACAAGTAAAATTATGAAAGGGATGGTTGGTGAATGTCTCGAAAGAGATGCTAAACCAAGCATGGCTTCATCAGGCAAAGGTCAGACCGGGCTAACCTCAGTCTTTTCTCTGACAGACAGCTCCCTAAATTGGTAGGCAGGGCAAAGCTACAGATATTAGCTGACCTAGACATGAACAAAAGATCAGGGCAAGTTCCTCACTCATGCTAGCCTTAGGGAGAGTGTGCCCTACATGCCAGGATGGTTGAACGTAGTCAGAGAAAGTCTGAGTAACTGGAACCCAAGAGGGAGCCGTCATTGACCGCCCCAAGGATGACAGGTTGGAACAAGGTCCCCCGTGGAGGGCCCAGGGCATCTGGGCAGACTCCTGTGCTGTTGTCACATTTTTTATCAATGCCTTGGATGCAGAGGGAGATGACGAGGGTACCAGGTTTATACATGACACTAAGCTAAACATGATAATTTACAAGGTGTATGAAAGTATTCAAAAAGATCTCAACCAGCTGGAATCAAATAAGGCAAAATTCATAGAGACAAAAGTAAAATCTGACACAAGTTAAAAAAGTATTTCATAAATACAGCTGTTGTTTAACAGAAATTCATTTGTAAAAGGTCTGGATTTTTTTTGTTGCTGTTTTAATTCATGGATCAAAAGGTCAGTAGTAAAGTCCTGGTTGGTGCACTGGATAGAGAGCCGGACCCAGAGTCGGGAAGATCTGAGTTCAAATCTGGCCTCAGACACTTACTAGTTGTGTGACCCCGGGCAAGTCACTTAACCCTGTTTCCCTCGGTTTCCTCATATGTAAAATGAGTTGGAGAAGGAAATGGCAAACCACTCCAAGAAAACCCCAGATGGGGTCATGAAGAGTCAGACACGACTGAAACAACTGAACAGTAATAATATTTGACATTCATTTTTTTTTTATTTTGAGTTCTAAATTCTCTCCCTCCTGCCTGCCCCTCTCCTACCCAATGAGAATTGGAACATATTTTTTTTAATTGGAAAATATTTAACAAAATAAATAAAAACATAATAAAACATAGATAACATCACATTTTAAAACTAAGTCTGGATCACTGACCCCCGTCTCTATGTGAGTTTGATAACACTGGTTTAGATAGCATAGAAGGTCCCTGAGAGTCTATGATTAGATCCCAAGTTGAATAAAAGGGCCCTTGTTTTCCCTCATTTGACTTGTAGCCTTCAAATTCAGGCCACAGAGCCACGTCCGAAGAAACTGAGGGCCTTAATCTCCACAGAGGTCATTTAAATTTCTAAACAAACAAATTGCCCCCAACCCTGGATGCCATCTTGAAGATCCATGCCATTGAGTGACTCAGAGATTGGGAGACTCAAGAGTTACCTGTGGAGTAGAATGGCCTTGCTGTTGTTCATGGGCTACTGAAGACTGACCAACCAAGAAGAGGGTTTCTGAGCTCTCTGGGCAGATAAAGTGAAATCCCACAGAACAGACTATGCTTAAAATAATGCCTCTCCCATAAGCAACCTGAGATCACTGCCAGCCACTGGGGTATTCACAGCTTATTTTTTTAACAAAGAGCTCATTTCACAAGTTACAGTTTAAACACTTGAATTTAGCGAGTTAGAGCAATGGGGACTGAAACGGGGGGAAAAAATGAAACAATTACAGAATGTTCATCTGTCATGAAAAGAACCTAGACGTCGAGTCCAGAGACATGGATTCATATTCTGCTTTGGATCCCAACACTTAGACGGCAGTTTCCATCCCCAGCAAACAGGGGTAATTAAACTTACAATTCAATTTCATTCTGGAATTCAATTCACTTCAGCAAGTCTCATTAAGCACGTGTTAGGTACGAGAGAAATGGGATTCAATTAGAATGCACAGGTTTAACAAGAAAGGCTTATGGACATGCTAGCAGAGCATAATGTGTTACGTTGCAATGGAAGTGTGTTTGCATTCTTTGTGTGGGGAGAAGAGAATGCAAGCTGTCATCCGGGGTGCAAGTGTGGGTGGAGAAGCGAGTTGAAAGCCTAGGGCCTGACTCGGCAGATTTTCCTTCCCTCCCCGACTGGCGCCCCTCCCTGTTCTCTATCCTCCAAGGAGCTCATAGGGTCATAGAACTAAAACTAGAAGGGGCATTGAAGGTCATCTAAACCAATTCTGTCATTGAATGGATGAAAAATTGAAGCCCAGTGAGGGAGATTAACCTAAGGTTCCATACGCAGTAAATGGCCAACCAGGATTAGAACCCAGAACCTCTGACTCCAAGTCCAGTAGCTGTCTCCACTGTATGAGCCTTCACCCTTCATAAGGAAACTGACAGAGTCAGTCTTGAAGTTCATAAACATGGTACTATGGGAATACCTTCAACGTAACTATATCTGCCCCCAGCCAAGTTGACCATTCTGGTCTTGAACAAAACAAAGATGGAGGCAGAGGGTAGAAGATTCCATAATGTTTCCCTTACCCAATGCTTAGCACACGAAATTGTTGTGGAGTTGAGAAGGCTGTGGAGGGTGGGATAAGTCACCCACCAGAGTCTGGGGAGGAGATAGGACAACAATATCGGAAAATGCCCTTCCTATCCTGACAGACTTGTTCCAGATTCTCTTCTAACCAAATTCATCAGGAGATCTACATGACCCTATGCCTGACAACCCTTCCCATTCCCCTTTGTCCTGCCTCCACAGTCACCCATCTATCACATTTCTAGCTCCAAAATGTACAATGGTTATCAAGCCAAGGTAAAGCATATCCAACGTTAGGCAACCTGTACCTTAAAAGGAGGCATGGAATTGTGGGTAGAGTCCCAGAATCAGAATCAAAGAATTTCAGAACTGGAAGGGACCTCGGTTAACCTTGCGTCCAAATCGTACTAGAGAAAGAATCCCTTCCTTAAAGAAATAAAGGACAACTTAAATAATCATAAGAATATTCAGCAGATAGTGAGACCGTACCAATAAAATGAAAATGCCAATATTACCAAAATTAACTTACAGATTTAGTATTATACCCATTAAACTGCCAAGGGGCTATTCATAGGTTTAGACAAAATACTAAAATAAAAAAATAAATAAAGGTTCTAGGATACCAAGGAAAATCATGAAGAAAAAAAAAAGAAAAACAAGAAGGAGAAAGAGTGCTTTCCAACCACACTTGATATTATAAAGCAGTGATTGTCAAACAATTTAGTACTGCTTAAAATTTTCTAAAGTTAGGTTTGCTACTTAGGGACTAACTTAGAGATAGAAGAAGCCATGTAGACAGCTAAGACTGGGTCCAAATGACCCTTTCACTTGGATCCCTTTATTATTCTCCCATTTTCCAGGTCATCCCCAGTTCTCCACCTGCATAATGTTCGCTGTTATCCACTAGATAAACTGGATTTTCAGATGCCCGCTTATCCTACCTGGACAGGGTAGGAAGCTAACTGGAGCTGAAGGTTCTCTTAGAGAACCGCGCAGGCTTTGCTTTTATTTCACCTTCAGATGCCTTATTTGCCTTGTGGTTTTGCTGGCTGGGGAGTCGACAGTTCCAAACTCTGTATTCAGCAGGAGGGCTCAATGAGCTTCTTCCTCCAGGCAAGCACATGGGGAATGAATGGAGCATTTCTGAAGCCACACTCAGCTACAATCTGCAGTGCCACCTAGTTTCCAGCCAAAGGCTTCCAAGAGGTGACAGAGGTCTACAGACTTACCCTTTTGCTGGTCTCTTCTTCCTGGGCCTTCCGAAACTCATGCTCAAGGGAGCAGTCAATGTCGTTGAAGAGGCCCACCTCCTCGCAGTTCTTCAGGAATCTAGTGGGAGTCGGGGTCTGATCTGAGGAGAGAGAGCAACACAATATGGAATGAGGTGCTTCCCTCCCCCAACTTCCGATTCAAAGTCAGAGCTTAAAAAACCAAAAACCAAAACATCCTGCCCCACCACAAAATAAGTCTATGGCAGCCCATGAGTTAAATCTCACTTCATGGGATATTGAGGTGAAAGGATCACAGGGTCAGAGACTTAGAATGGGGAGGAAACTTAGAGGTCATTTAACCCAACCACAACATTTTATAGATGAGGAAACTGAGGCCCAGGGAGGGGAAGGGACTTTGCCAAGGATGGACAAAGGTCAGAAGTAGAATCTGAACCCAGGTTCTTTGACTCCAAATCCAGTAGAACTCAAACCCATTCTGCCACTTATGATGTGATGGGGTAGGCGGGGAGATATCACAAATAAGAACAATGTGAGGATAAATACGACAAGGACAAAGGAGACTTTCAAAGCACTGAAAGAAAGCACCTGGCCTCCTATGACTCAGGCAAAAACAAAACTGTCCCTGCCCTCAAGGAGAATGCATTCTAAAAGGACAGACAACATATCCATGTGGTGTATGTATATGCAGATACATACAGGTGTATACAAAAATACACAAAGCAGATAACTTGACCGAGGTCACACAAGTAGTAAGAGGCAGAGTCCTCTGACTCCAATCCAGGGCTCTTTTCCCTGTCTGTCACACAGGTAATGTGTCCAGCAGGCCATCACAACAGCAGAACTGGAACTCAGGGGGGAGATGGGGATTAGATACGTAGACTTGGACACCCTAGGCAGAGATGGGAAAATGGAAGTTAGACAGTTGACTGGATTGCCCAGGAAGAGAATGGAGGCAGAGAAGAAGGGAAAGGGGGTGTAATGACTCAAGGGATGCCTGCCCACTCTCAGTAGGAGGAGGAGCCAGGGAAGGAAGAACCAAAGCCAGGCGAGGCCAGCGCCAACGAAGCCTGGGTGCTGAGACAAGAGACAGGTCCAAGCAGGCTGGCAACATGTCGAGGGGGCTGAGCAGGACCGAGCTTTTGGATCCAGCAGTTAAGAAGGCAGCAGAGCAGGGGGAGGGGAGCAGAAATCAGACCACGGAGGGCTCTAGGAGCTACTGAAGGTGGTTTAGCTGTGAAACTTGAAGAAGCAGCAGGAGGACAAAAGGATTGTTATTTCTTCTTTTTTTTTCTTTTTAGCCTAGAGAGACCCAAGTAAATTCAACACCATTTCATGTCTTCTGCCAATGGGAGTCACCTGGTATTGGGCACTGATCTCAAAAGACCTGGATACGAATCCTGCCTCACGTTCACTAGCCGTGTGACTCTAGGGAAGTCACTTATCTTCTCTAATACTCAGTTAATTCATCTGTAAAATGGGGGTTTGAACTCTATGGCCCTCCATTACTTTCCAGCTCTAAATCTGTGATTCTATGAGACTCTGAGCTTGCCTGAGAAGTACCATCTTGGAAAATTTGAGGGGCAGCTAGGTGGCGCAGTGGATAAAGCACCGGCCCTGGATTCAGGAGGACCTGAGTTCAAATCCAGCCTCAGACACATAACACTTACTAGCTGTGTGACCCTGGGCAAGTCACTTAACCCCCTTGCCTAACCAAAAAAAAAAAGGAAAATTTGGGGGTTCTGGATACAATGAAGAAAATATGGGATTCTAATCCTTAGGGATTGAATCTTCAAAACAAATAAATTCAATTCACCATAAAAAGCATGCAAAAACTGGACAGAAAGTGAATGCCTATCATATGGGGAGTGGTGAACAAGTTGTGATATGTGAATATAATAAAATAATATTGTGCCTAAAGAAGTTATGATAATGGGAAATATGTGAAATTTTGTGTGAACAGGGGAGAAAAGTAGAGCCAGGTGAACAATAATAACAACAACTATAACAGACAGTTAATTGTTATGACCAATTTCCGTGTAGGAAAACCATAACAAATGGGCAAACCAATGTTGAAACACACACGCCTCCTTTCAATAGAAGGACTGGAGACTACAGATGTGAGGTGTGCATAGTCAATCAAAAGCCATCCCGGTAGGTGGTGGGTTTGCTTAAATGGTTTTCCTTGATACAAGGGAGTGTTCGATGTGGGAGGGGGAAAGGACAATAAGGGGAAATAATTGGTATTTGTAAAAGGCAACAATAAAAATTTTATGGAACTAGATATGGACATAGCATGTATATACATCTTGGTGTACAAAGATGAAAAGTCACTCAGCCCTTACCCTCAAGGAAGTTAGAGTCTAAGCCTAGAAACGAGACATTTCCAAATAACTGTGCTACATGTAAGGATGTAATTACATGAGAGGTCAAAGGAAGATGCAGAAGTGATTGCTGTAAGGAAAGCATTACATTAAGCTGGAATAGGGGAAGAGGAGATCAGGAAAGGCTTGGGGGCATTTGAATTTGACCTTGACCTTGAAGACAGATCCTACTTCCATCAGGCAGCAGCTATGACTGCTCTCTATTCTAGGCAGGGGATACAGAGTAAGCAAAGGCACAGAGATGGGAGAGAACAGATGAGATTAACAAACGAGAAGTGACTCAGTTTAGGATCTTAGGGTTGCTGGGTAGGGAATTGAAATAAGACACCAGTCTAGGCTAGAGGTAACGAGGGCCTGAGCAGAATGTTCTAAGCAGGAATGGTGCCCGGGAGATGGATGGGGAGAGAGATGATGGAGGTGAAATTGACAGGACCTGGCAGCTGAGCAAGAAGGGGAGGGCAGGATGAGGCCAGGCTGCCATCATCAGTCAGGACGAGTTGGGCTGACGTGGAGAAAGGAGAGGCTTGTTTTTCAAAGTTAAGCAAACCATTGGCCTTCCTATTAGTTAAATAACTGCTCTGCAAGAACTATGAGCCGCCAGAGGAGACCTGGAGCCCCATAAAGATTTACCTGCCCTAACCCCTTCCTGAATGCTCCCCTCCATGCCTCACCGAAGGAAGTGACTTTGAACTTACTTCCTTTACATTTTCTATTTACTTATCTCTGTTGAAGCCTTCCAGGCCAGGAGACATTTCATTTTTCTCTTCATATCCCCAGCAACTAGCACACAGTAGGTACTTAGAAAGTGCTTACAGAATTGACCTGAATTTGTAAAAAGTCCAAGTTTCTTTATCCTAATGAAGTCATTTTCTTCTTGTCAATATATTTCCCCATAAATTCCAAAGGCAGTGAGTAGGAAGGCTGCTTCTCTTCACTGGAACCCAGCAAATTAAGACCAGCTCTGGAACAGCCCAGGTAACAGTGGATAGATGGGAGTGCTGGACATGGAATCAGGAAGACCTGAGTTTGAATCTTCCTTCAGACACTAGCTGTGTGATGCTGGGCAATTCATTTAACCTCTGTGCCTCAGTTTCATCTATAAAACCGGTATAATAGTAGCACCTACCTCAGAGTGCATGGATCAACTGAGATAATATATATATACAGGCTTTGTAAAATTTAAAGCACTACATAAATGTTATCTGTTATTATATTATTATTATTACTACTATTTGTACCTTACAGTTGACCTATATGAGATTAAAGCACTTCTCTTTCCTACTGACCTTCCTTCTACCTTCTTGGAGACCCCACTTTTTCTGGTCTCTGAAATATTTACCTTTTGTTCTAATTAAATGAAATTCTTTTCTCCACAGTCTCCCTCATGGTTAGCCTGAACTCTGGAGCAATTCATAGCAGGGCTGATTTCTCTTCCCAACTCAGAGTTAACTTGAGCTTTTTATCAAGGTCCAAATCCCCACTAAAGACCATCAGCACTTTTACTCTGGGGGAGCAGGGTTAGACAATCCATAAGACTCAGACTCGGTGGTAAGGATGGATGGGCTTTGTCAAAACTGCCAGTGACAGAAATGGAGTCAATTCAGAACCAAGAGGACTGTGCTCCCAACAGGGAAAACAGACATGAGCAGATGACACCTCCCAGCAGCCGAGGAATCAAGGTGTGGAACTGGAGTCTCAAGTTGGTGCCTACTGATGAGGGTTTCCCTCAGAGGGCTCTGTTACATAGGATTTCAAAAGTGGAGTGCACGTGTGCACAAAAAAAAAAAAAAGAAAAAGAAAAAAAAAGAAGAGGAAAGGAAAGGAACCAATTTATCCATTTGGAAACTGAGATTCCCTGGGATTCTCAGTCCTGAAATTTTATTGGTATGTGACATTCCTTAACACCCCCTAGGGATCCCGTTACTTCTGAAACATCTCTCCATTATCCCCATGTCCAGTGCAATGGGCTCAGCTCTCTGCTCTCTGTATGCCCATACCAAGCTCTGGCTGAAAATTTAGGGCTATAGGCCAGAACAGGTCTCCAGGTCACTTGTCATTAAGAGGAAGTTGGTTTGGGCAGTTTGGACTTTGTTTTTTTGGTTTGACTTTGACTCCATTTCTCTCTATGGATTATCATATTGACAAGCCTGGTGAAGTAAATGCTTGCTTCACTCCCCTTTCCTGAGAAAAATGGGGTGTGGTACACTAGACAGTGGAATGACTCTTAGAGGCAGAAAGACCCAGGTTCCAGTACTCCCTGTGACACATAGTGGCAAGTCACTGCTGAGACACTAAGTTGCAAAGAAGTGGACAAACTGTATCAGTAAATGAATGAATGGATGAGCATTTGTTAAATGTTTGCTATGTACCAGGCACCAGGCTAAGTACTAGGTAGAAATAGAAGCAAATAAGATACTCCCTTCCAGTAAAGAGCATACATTTTAATGAGGACAGACAACACTTATATCAGTAGAGGCAGGTTCCATATCAGGACTTACCTACACTAATCACATCACAGAAATAGACTCTACCCCACACACCTCTGGGGAAAAAAATCATGTCCCAGACTACACTGGGGTTTCCTCAATAAGAACCAGAATTACATGAAGGAAACCAGTCTAGAAATCCACATAGGAAAAGCCAAGCAGATAAAGAACATGGATTATCCAGTCTGAGACATGCGGTTAAATTGAAAACCCACAGAATTGGTCTCTCATGCTGTGTGTGTGTGTGTGTGT